GTGCAAGACAATCCATTGGGCTGCAGAAAAATATAGAGCTTGTATTCAAAATTATTTTTAGGTTATTCTCTTAAACGTTCTATTTTAGCATGCCTTTTTTTTGCGGGGGGGGGCTGCATTGGGTCTTCGTTGCTGTGCACGGACTTTCTCTAGTTGGGGTTAGCGGGGGCTACTCTTTGTTGCAGTGCGCAGGCTTCTCATTGCGGTGGCTTCTCTTATTGTGGAGCACGGACTCTAGGTGCGTGGGCTTCAGTAGTTGTGGCACATGGGCTCAGTAGTTGTGGCTCGCGGGCTCCAGAGAGCAGGCTCAGTTGTTGTGGAGCAAGGGCTTAGTTGCTCCGCGGCATGTGGGATCTTTCCAGAACAGGGCTCAAACCCATGTCCCCTGCATTGGCAGGTGGATTCTTAACCACTGCGCCACCAGGGAAGCCTTAGCGTGCCTTTTTCATGTATGTAAAATATTCATGCAGCAATACATATAAATAATTCACACACACATATATGCATTGCAGGCACCTGCTAATTTTTTTTTAAACCATATTTCAAAAAACTATGGGGACTACTGCTTTTGATTTGCAGTATTATGGAGCTCGGAGAGTTATGGGAGCTAGAAACCTATAAAGTATGGCTGGAGCATCAGTTTGGTCTAATGCTTTGCCTGAGTGTGGGAGGCACTGGGAAGGCAAGTAAAGCCCCAAGTTTGGTCAAGCCTAGGGTATAGGTGATTGGACCTGTAAAGGTGACTGAGCCCAAAAGTCGAGATCACCTGAGAAAAGCAAGCCTCTAAGGTATACTGAATTACAATGAGGTGGGTGCTGTTTTATGGCACAGATGTGGCCTAAGAGGCCAAGGTAGAAGGACCCTAATGAGTCTAGGACAGCTGAGAAGAGACTGAGGTAGGTGAGAGCTTAGGAGCCTCCCAAGACTGCAAGTTTAACATGCCCATTAGTCTAGCATTCTAGGCAGTAACCTAGTAGGTCTTTGCAGTAATGGGACATGGGACAGATAGGTTTCAATAGGCAGTAGTAGAAGGAAGCCTGGCTAGCACGGGGTATGGACAAAGTCATAGAAGCCTAAAAATGTATTTTGAGAGAAATAGCCCAAGGCAAGTTAGGAGCACCTTGACATTAACTTTTCCCCACAGTTTTACAGAGACGCAATTCTGCCTAAACAATATATCTAAACCCTGGCTAATTCTGGCATATCTAGATACTATACGATAAAAGGCTAGTCTTGAGACACCGAGTTTCTTCTGTCTCCCTCAAACGAAAAAGAAACATACAATAAGAAACAAAAATTTAGAGAAAGCAAATTAGAGTCATTTTAGATTGTACGTATTTTTAATTACGTGACTCAAAGTTTATGTAAACCATAAAAATAAATGTTTTTCTCTGGACATTTTTAAATGTTCAATTCCAGCTCAAGTTTAAAATATCCCTTTTCCAATATAGTTTGTAAGTAAGACGTACAGAACTCCTAATGTGGTCCTAATCCACCCCTATTCGATGGTGAAGGCTACAGGTATTACTGAGAACAAAATAAAATGTCAGAGGACGTAAGTTGACCACTGAAGGTGACACTGACAGCAGGAGTCAATGTCTCCATGGGGACAGTGCATTTGTGGTGAGTTCCAGCCCTGCTGGTCTCCAAGGAAACAGTGGAAAGGTGACGCAGAGAATCACGTAGCTCTGTCCAGACAGAGTGGACGCTGTAGTCCTACTCACCCCACCCCATGAAAATGAGACAATGAAACAAATTTTCTCAAGAAATGAAGGCTGTATCCCCATCTTGGCAAGCCATCTGCTCGCACATTCTCCTTAGCTGGGATGTGAGCAGCTGAAAGCCAGTGGCTGCTTCTGAAGGCTTTTTTTCTAAAAGTGGAAGTCTCTCTCTGAATTCTGTCTGAACTTGCCCCATCCCTCCTCAAAATATGCTCTCTCAGCTCAGAGTTTGACAAGATCAAATAACCAGAGCTTTTTAAATACCCTGTTTGGGGTAAAGCTTCCAAGACAGTTAACAATTCTAGCTTGTTTACACTCTTCAAACACCACCCCTTCACTCCTCACCGCAACACACACACACACAGATTAGAAGTCAGGAAAATTCACCTTCCTCCTTAAGCCCTCCTTACCAACCAAATGCCAACTTGACTTAGAGTCAATTTCTAGGTTTGGAATTGTTACCTTTCCTTAATCCCACAGCAGCTGCCTCTCAGTGGTCAAGCTAAATCCATTTAGCTTATGTTTGACTTGTGGATATTCTGTGGTAGAAAAATGTTTCTAAATAACTCTTAATGCTTTAGAACTGTTAATAATGAGAAAGACTAGTGGGCATTCATGAGCTGTTATAAGACAGAGTTCCCGTTCTATGCCTTATTCATTTATGCAAACTGTTGTAAAGGTACCAAGTTCACTGTGCAACTGGGCTGGAAAAGTCCCTGGACTGGAGATTACATTGGTATGCACATTTCTGAGGCTTGGTTCTGTTTCACATTTTCATCACTGACCTGCTTAAGGGAGCAGAGAGCAAACTCATTAAGTTCCTAGATGGGAGGGATGGTCAGAACATTAGAGAACAGGATTAGAATTTCCCTAGCCCTTGCCAAATTAGCAAAACTGTCAAATATGTTCATCAGGGACAGGCAGGGAACAGGAAAGCTGCCCAAATGCAAGCCGAGTAGTAGCAACTTATTTAGGAGCAGAACTGAAAAGACTGTAGATGCAAGCACAGACTAGGAGCAGGAAGAAAACTTACCCAGTATAACCACTAGCGTTCATCGGGACCTTTGCACGCCCTTAAGATGGATTCAGATCCCCAGTCAATGGATTGTAGAAGCATAAAGCCCTCCCCCAAGAATTCTAAGAATTCCAGTGAGTTTTCCTTCTCGTGGCACCTCTAAATTCAGATTCCTGATTCCATTTAGTTTCCCTGGTTTGTGATTCATTTCACTGTCCTGCTCTAGTCACCCTATAGCAAATCACATTGACCCAGACATAAAAACCATTTCCCTCCCATGAGCAAACCACGGCCTCCTGCAGAAGGGCCTGGCTATCTCCTTGGTTGTCTTGACTCTTGTTTAATCCTTCCGATTAAACTTCTATCCCAAGTAGCTTAGCAAGATATTTTCCTACATACAGACAGTTCTCTCCTTTAGAGGAACTCTGGGACCAGCTATTAAGATAATAACATTTACACCTGCATTATCTAACAGAAGCGAACATGACAGTCATGAGCCAACAGTGCTTCTGCCAAGGGCCGGCACATATCTTCTGTAAAGTAAATAAATACTAGATAGTAAATACTTTCTAACTCTACTGCAACCACTCCGATGCTATAACATGAAAGCATTCGTACACAATATGCAAACAAAAGGGGCCTGACTGGATTCGGTCCCCGAGTGGGCCATAGTCTGCCAACTCCTCCAAGACTCAGCTTCAGAATCTTAGACTTTCGGGGAGCTTAGCAACCGTGTTATCCAACCTGCAGAAGTCAGCACCCAGAAAGTAGCGTGACGCTTACGCGAGTCCACAAGACAGGTAAGCCAGGGTTAAAACTTCAAATTAGAAACAGGTAGCCCAGTTCCCAGGCCAGCCTATATCATCACTAGGCTATTTCCAGAAGGTTCTAAGGATCCCTGCTTACGTGGCAAAACATCTTCTAGAAATTCTCCACTATAACTTTGGCACATGCATTAGTCGTAGTATGTGTAAGACACAGTAGTATCGTCTTGCGGCACCTCGAGGAGGAGGACCCAAGATGAAAGTCTGACTAAAGATGCGGGTGAGGGGCTTCCCTGGTGGCGCAGTGGTTGAGAGTCCGCCTGCCGATGCAGGGGACACGGGTTCGTGCCCCGGTCCGGGAGGATCCCACATGTCGCGGCTGGGCCCACGCGTCTGGAGCCTGTGCTCCGCAATGGGAGAGGCCACAACAGTGAGAGGCCCGCGCACCACAAAAAACAAACAAACAAACAAAAAGATGTGGGTGAGGTTGACTCTACCACCAAGGGGCAGACTTCTTGAAAACCAGAGTAAAGCCTAGAATAGATTAGGAAGGAAAACAAGGCACAAAGTTCAAAGGACATAATTTTATTTAGTTTAAATAAAGTTAAAGGTGACATAAATCCTCATATACCCAGAGGAATGTTTCCAAAGGAGCAATTGTTTTCCGTCTCCTTTTAGAATGAAAAGAGCAGAACTGGAGTATAGGTTAGATCACAGAAAGAACTTAATGGAGGTAACCCTGTTACTCACGAGAATTGCAGGCCAGAGGAAGTCACAGAATTGTCTTAATAATTGGATCTGGGAGTTGGCATCTTTCAGGGAGGGACAGGAGGGAGGGAAATAGACTGAGTCAGTGATTCTCAATGTCCTTTCTGTCTCATTAAATCCCCTGAAAGCTGTAGGAAAGAGCCCTTCTCTGAGCCAACAGGGACACATTGAATCATTGTATTTAATGAGAGCAGGACTGTTTCTTTAAGAGGGTGGTGAAGTGCAGAACACAAAGTGGATACTGTATTGGAAAAAAATAATTGTCCAGATTTCAAAGGAGCTTCCCAAACGACACTCCCTCACATTGGCAGGCATTTGGGGTAACTCATGAAAAACCCACCACGCGTGGTTGGAAGCTTGCAGCCCCTTCCAAATGTGTGTGTGGACGTGCTTGACGCCTTTACCTTGGTAGTGGCCAGGAGTTTCTTCCCGTAGATCATTCTTGATCAGCAATTTGAAGACCCCGTAGCTTGGGCCTATTCCTCCTTGAAAGTCAGGGCCAAGTTTTTATGAGAACTCTTATTTTACTAGCTTTGAGAAAGATAAATCCTAGCGTACATCTTGTTACTAATTAAAAATGGTACAATCTATTCAAATATCATTTCTTGACAGTATATTTCACGAAACTATCCCACAAGTATTTGTCTCACGCCACAACTTTTCCAAAGCTTGGTTTTTCAAATGGTGAACTCTTGACGATGATTATTTTTTATTATTATAATTCTTTTCCAGATGATCCAGGAACCTGCACATCGTGCGCTATGGGGTATTACATGTAAGTCTGGTGTTTTTGGGTTTTTTTTCATGGCACTAACTCTTTCTGCAGTTTAAGCATTACTGACTTAATCCTAAATCCAGTGATTAAAGCAAAGAGACCCTGCAGCCTGAAGCAACTCTCCCCTGTCAGGCTATTAATGAACAATCCTTGCATTTAGCAATAAGAGTGCAGCTGTTTTCTTGCCTTGAAAGGAGGTCCTCTCCTTCCTTGGTCCTGGAAGTCACCCAGCCTGACACTGGTGTCTAGGAATCTTGCCATGGGTTACCAAGATTCAGACCTTGCTGTTTATGGACAGATTTTAATAACATACCTGACCCCAAGCAAGCTGTTTCCAAATGTCTGCACGGAGACCTCATCCTTAAAGGGAGTCAGACAGTCCAGGATGAAGCCAGGTGTTTCGTTAGTTCTTTTTTTTATTATTATTTTTATTTATTTATTTATTTTTGGCTGCGTTGGGTCTTTGTTGCTGCGCACGGGCTTTCTCTAGTTGCAGCGAGTGGGGGCTACTCTTCGATGCGGTGTGCGGGCTTCTCATAGCAGTGGCTTCTCTTGTTGCGGAGCATGGGCTCTAAGCTCTCGGGCTCAGTAGTTGTGGCACGCAGGCTCAGTAGTTGTGGCTCGTGGGCTCTAGAGCGCAGGCTCAGTAGTTGTGGTGCATGGTGTTAGTTGCTCCGCGGCATGTGGGATCTTCCCGGACCAGGGCTCAAACCCGTGTCCCCTGCATTGGCAGGGGGATTCTTAACCACTGCACCACCAGGGAAGTCCGTTTCGTTAGTTCTTAATCCTCCCATGAGTAATGAGAGACACGCACCACTAGGTTAAGTGAAATGCAGATAACCATCACCCCCAAAGTTCTCTGTTAAAAATCTACAAATCAAAGATGGTATGTCTCGGGCTTCCCTGGTGGCGCAGTGGTTGAGGGTCCACCTGCCGATGCGGGGGACGCGGATTCGTGCCCCGGTCCGGGAAGATCCCACATGCCGCGGAGCAACTGGGCCCGTGAGCCACAACTACTGAGCCTGCGCGTCCGGAGCCTGTGCTCCGCAACAAGAGAGGCCACTACAGTGAGAGGCCCGCGCACCGCGATGAAGAGGGGCCCCCGCTCGCCGCAACTAGAGAAAGCCCACGGGCAGAAACGAAGACCCAATGCAGCCAAAAATTAATTAATTATTTAATTAATTAATTTTTTTAAAAAAACACTATAACTTCAAAAGAAATGATGTGTAGATACATACAAGGAGATTAAATTATGGTGATAAAGAGAAATATGTCAACACAGCTCATGGAAGAAACTCCATCTTCTCCCCCCAGGTTCAAACACCAGTGTTATGAAACCTGTCCTGAGAAGACCTACAGGGAAGAATCTGAATGCAAGGCATGTGATACAAACTGTGGCAACTGCGACCAGGATGAATGCTACTGGTGTGAAGAGGGCTTCTTCCTCTTGGGTAAGCTCAAAAATGGCATTGTACAAAGTGACAGCAAGGCTCCAGGGCTCCACCCAGAAATGGGAGAGCTCCTCTGATCAGTTTTGGAGTCCTCCTATGCCTCTTGTCCAAGGAGGAATTTTAATTTTGTTTGAAAATAAACATTAGCCAGGACTCCTTCTTTCTGCTTTTATTATTGAAGCATAGCTCCTATTTCAGTAATTAATCTCAAGTGTCTCTAAACTGATGGAAAGGAGAGTGAATGGAGGGGAGGGAGAGGTGCTCAAGAGAAATGCTTTGGAGTTGAAGTCACCTGGAATATTTAGAACATAACTCTTTCCTTGACACTTCATCCACGTTATATATTCCTTGCACTGTAAAAATTAAATGAGATCTTTTGTCTTCGATTTTGGTCAATTCATTGACTTTGATGGAAATGAATCGTTAGGAAAGACAAATACTGTGAGCCTTCCAGTTGAAGAGAATAGTCCAGGTTCTTGAATGTTTGTGGCAGAGAGAGTGGCGCAGACAGCCCACAGCGACCTTCAGAGATTCTGTATGTAGAGATCATTTTATTTGCAGTCTTTCAAGGCCTTGAGGACATGAAAGCTTTTATTCTATGCTCCTAGCCCTTTGAGCTGATAGCCAACTTGAATTTTCAGTCCTCTTTTGGAGGACTTAAAGCGTTGGATTTATTAAGACACGATTCTTGGTTGAAATAAGCAGATGCCACCATGGTTTCTTTAAAAACTAAAACATGTTCCTCGGCCTCCCTTCGGCCTGGTTAGAACTCGGCCCTGCGTAGAGCACCAGGCTCGGCCAGCCAGGGTCATGCTTCATGCCTCCGTTCTGTGTCCTCATGTAGGCGGCAGTTGCGTGAGGAACTGTGGCCCTGGCTTCTACGGTGACCCAGAGATGGGAGAATGTGAGCCCTGCCACCGAGCCTGCAAAACCTGCACCGGTGTTGGCCGCAACCAGTGCAGCAGCTGCGGAGAAGGGTTGCAGCTGCTGCATGGGACGTGTGTGCATCTGGCCCAGACCCAGGTGGAAGGCAGATTCTGGAATGGTACGGACCTCCCAAGAGAGATTGCAGGTGTCTAGCTGACTCCTCTGCCGCCCCACCCCACCCCCAAACCCTTGCTTTCAGGATACCCAAGAGATGAAGGTTGCCAGTAAAAGAAAAGCCTGGAGTCCCAGAGCCCCTGTGATGCTCATTGCGGGAGAGGATAAGAGGCTATGGCTGGCATTTGGCGAGGAGGGAAAACCCAAAGGGCCACTGATGAGTGATCTGACCATTTGAGTTTCCACCTGGGTGGAGTAGACCGCAGAGCATGTAAAGAGCGTCAGAGAGAGAAATGACTACCATTTTCTCAAAGATTTCAGAATAGCTTCTATCACATTCACTTATCTCTTTATTAGAAAAGAGATAAAAGAAAACTACCAGTGGGATAGCTTGTCCAGTTAGACAAGGAAGAATCACTCTAAATTATGGGAACTTCAGCTGAAATGACTGATCTTTCTGGCTGGATTATTAGACCTTGCCATCATTCAAGCTTACCTTTTAAAAGTTGCCCCTCTAGTTGAAGATGGGGAAAGTGGGGGGCTTGAGAAGGAGCGGGAGGGAGGAAAAGTGTGGGAGCTTGGAATCTAACAGTAAAGGCCTGTGTGTATTCGTTCCCACCTGAGTCTTCAGAATTGGCCTCCAGACCCTGAAGCCTTGGTCGCAGGCTTCCTGGCAAGGTATGACAACCTTGCAGTGACCTCTCCATGCCTGAGGTGGTTAAAAAACAAAATCCTCCTCCTGCTGGAAAAATCTGACTCACATTCTATGCAGAGACGTTCATGAAAACAAGAGATGCTCTCCGTTTTGATTTCGAGGCGAGGATTTGTTTAAAAAGGTCATTCCAGTGCAGAAGCAACAGCAGCTGAAAGCAGGTCTGCTTGGGATGATTCTTCTAAGAGCTGGAGGGAAGGATAGATCTGGGGCAAGAGAGAAAAGCCTCTTGCTGGGTTTCAGAGGAAGGATGTCCACAGCTGCTGTCTACTTCGACAGTGTCGCATATGTGACTTAAAGGAAGAGCAGCTCGGAGACCATCACAAACCCAGCAGCCAAAGGCCACGGAGAGCACTGGCCGATTTCAGAGACACGGCTAGGAAGAAAATCATTCACTCCAGACCGGGATATCTTCCGTGAATTAAAGCTGAACCGAAAGGCTGAAAACGAGTTTGTCTGGCATTCAGGCATTTAAGAGGCAGTGCAGGCCAAGAGAAAAACAGTCTGGTGGTGTGTTTCTAGCTCAGAACATCTGTATTTTATCTGGTGTCCAGATGATGAAAAGGTCCGGGGAGCCAAGAGTCAGAGCAGATTGATTCCCCAAATGATTACACGTCCCTTTCAACTGGACTACGCACTTCGCAAGCAGAAATCAGGCCTTGATTGCCCGCCCCCCTCTGTCGAAGCATCCCACCTACCCCTCTGCATGTTCTACCACCAAAACGTAATGTTTCTGAAGAGAGGAAGGAATGAGTCCACTTGGGGATTTAATACTAAGGGATTCAGGAAGCAGATGAGAATGTTTCTCACGGCTGGACGAAAGCAACAAACTCAATGACATGGCTGCACTCTCCCACATCTGTGATCTGGGAAATAAGACATGCAGACTATGAACAACGAGAAAAACTTAGCTGAGCAAGGTAAGACCAGAGCTCAGCTTCCCCAGCATAGCTTAGGTACCGCCGAAATGGACAGTAAATGAGAAATGGACTCCACAAGGCCCTGAGAGTATTTGAGCCAATGCCTACATTTTTCTCCTGACTTCGTTTCCTTAAAAAACAGGGTTGAGGTTGTAATAGGAGAGCAGAGGGTTCCAGAGAACAAGCACTAATTAACCGCACCTCTAAGATGATGGAAAGCAGATTGCAGTCATCCTGGGTCAACTCAGAGGGAGCCCAGACAAATCAGAGTGTTTATGAGAGAATGGTGCTACCTAGGTGGTACCAGCGAAGTGTTGTGTTGTTTTTGTTGTTTTAAACACAGATTCAGATCCAGGTAGGGCAGAGCAGATGGGACAAACTTTAGCCCATTTCTTCACCCACACGACTGCCAGTGGAAACAATAAGCTCATGCTTGCATCTGAAGACTGTGACCACGCCCACTGTCTATATCAGCATGTGTCGGGGAAATGCCCTTGAGATAAAAATCCAACTAGAGTCCACTGAACTCCTCTCTTAATAAGGTGGCTACTCATGATGAGAGTGGTGAGGTTGACAGGTCATCACCCTTTGTCAATTACCAGCTGAGCCTGGGAATGCCTCCTATCCTTGTCCAAGGATGGAGATTTTCCTGCGCCTCATACCACAGCTGACAAATCCTCCAGCCAAGACCAAGTAATCTCCAGAGATTCTTCCTGCCACCTAAAAGTCACTGCACAAAAGTATAGATCAGGCTTCCCTGGTGGCGCAGTGGTTGAGAGTCCACCTGCCGATGCAGGGGACGCAGGTTTGTGCCCCAGTCCTGGAAGATCCCACATGCCGCGGAGCGGCTGGGCCCGTGAGCCATGGCCGCTGAGCCTGCGCGTCCGGAGCCTGTGCTCCGCAACGGGAGAGGCCATAACAGTGAGAGGCCCGCGTACCGCAAAAAAAAAAAAAAAAAAAAATAGATCATCCCCAGATTCCCTGTCCCGGTCACTAACTAATATATTGTGAAGATTACTTAGGCCAATGTCCCTGCGTGGCAATAATAGAACCAATGTTAAACAGGCTGCTGCCAATGGCATCAGCAGTGACTCAGGCAACACGCAGAGCCACCGTTGGTGAAAATGTTCAGGGGTGGCAGGCCACGGGCTTTGAAAGAAGATGGTGGCTTCAGCTGGTTTCCTGAAACCATTGTTGGGAATGGAAACAGTGTACCCTATTACTGTTAAATCATTTGGGTTTTCTTAAGTGGTTTTCTCCCTGGTAGTGCTGGAAAGTCTTCGGAATAATTCCTGCACATTTCCCCTACCCACCTATTTCCCTCATTAAAACCACGTTTGTAGCAGGCTCTAATTACATATTCTGATGGGTAGTCTAATCTACAAAGCACAGACATGGTAAATTAACTTTTTATCTTTGACCACATCCTAACAATTTATCACTAGCCTGTCTTTCGATCTTAATTCCTATGCTCTGAGAAAGACTGAAATCCCAGAGTCAGTTACAAACCCTGGAAGCCACTCATGCGTGAAAAAAAAATCTCAATAGTGGGGAGATATGTTGCTTCATAGTAACTGAACTTTAGAGAATTTTAAAGAAACCATGAGAATCTGGTTTTTTTAGAAGGACTTTGTAGATGTGTACGGTTGCCTCACTTAACTTACAAATGAGAACATGATTTTTACTTAATTAACCAATCACAACTCAGAGTGCAGAAAATACATGTTTCTGGGCAGCTAAGTAAACTTTTGGCCTAGTGGTATGAAGGAGCCACATGTATCTTCTTACACTGAGTATTAAACATCCAGGAATTTTATGAGTGGACCATTAAACCATTGCAACTTAAAATCAGCTATGGTGGGAATATTTACACCACAGCAATTGGTAAACAGGAGGACTCAAGTTTTTGTTGTTGTTTCGTGTTCCAAAGAGCCATGTTACCAGTACATCACTGCTTTGACCTCTACCAAACTATTTTAAATCAAAGTGAATTACTAAAACATCTCTCTAGTGAACGTAGGCTTTAGAATTCGGCATACCTGAATTCAGATCCTGGCTCTGTTCTTTACTATCTCCATAACCTGGAGCAAGATATTCATCCTCTCTGAGCCTCAGTTTCCTCACCTATAAAATGAGAACATGAAACTGCTTCATACAAGGTCCTTTGGAGAATTGAATGAAAGAATACATATAAAGCCTGCAGCACATATGATGCAACAAAAGTTAATCTATTCTCTAACCCTTTAACCTAATCCAGTTTTAACCCATGAAACACTAGTTCACTTTCAAAACTGCCTCCTTGAGCTCATGAAAGAAAGCAATTTGGGGGCCTACGGAATAATACAGGTCTGGGAAAAATAGTCCCAGAAAGAAGGGCAACTGATGGTCAGTTGGGATGCCTAATAGCCAAGTTGAGTCCTGACTTAACCAAGAATGTGTACAAAGATGATAACAGCAGTTTTACTTATGATAACAAAAAAAAAAAGAGAGCAATCTAAAAATGTAACGAGAAAAAAATGAAGGAAATTATGGTTCATGCAAATACACAAACCATTAAAAATGTTTACAAAGAATCTTCATGGCAAGAGAAAATGCCTATAAGATGTATAATATTAAATGAAAAATGTAGGTTGGTATTATATATGAAGAAGATGTAAATGATTACATATATATGCACATATGTAATGATACTCACACATTCACTATAAAGATGGGAAATCTATATGCCAAAGTATACACAGTACACATTTCTGGGTGGTAAGATCATGGGCAAACTTTATGTTCTTCTTTATCTTGTTTGCATTAAAAAAATAAAACACTTTATTTTTTTTAATAAAAAAAGAACCTGTGCCCGCTGCAAGCCCATCTTTGGTGAAGAGCCCGCTGCAGGAGCGACGAAGGTGGAAGTTTCAAATCAAAAGAGGTAACAGGGAAATAGGGAGGAGAAGACAATCAAATATGAGGAGAGTCTCTGTGATGTAGAAACCAACCCGAGAAGCCGGGCAGTGAGGAACAAGCAGGCATGCAGAAGTCGTGAGAGAAACAGAGAGAGGAGGAAAACACAACACAAAATATAAGTGGGCGCCCAAAGGGAAAGACTGGGAGGAATTTCATCAGTGGAGACTTCTAGAACATACAAGGACATTCCTGAGGTGCTAAGTGCTTATGCTTGGGAGAGGCTATCAAGAAAATCCTCTGTCCTTGCAAATCTTTAAGAAAAGCACCATTTGCCTTCCCAGTCACTGCAGCCTTGTTTGAAATAGCAAAGATTGGAAAAAACTAAATGGCTACCAATAAGAATAGAAAAATGAAGCATGACACATCCACACGATGGAATACTATGGAGCCATCAAAAAGAATGAGGACGTTCTTTATGTACTGATAAAGAATGGTCTCCAGAATACTGAGTTACAAAAAAAAAAAAGGCAACATGATAAACATTGTGAACAGATAAAGTTTGTATAAAAAGGTTGGAGGGGGATGGGGAGAGAGGGAAGAGACTTCACGGTATGTGCCTTTTCTGCATTTTGAACTATGTGAGTATTGCTTATTTGATTTTAAAAATTTTAATTAAGAACCCCTGTTTTATAGGATTGAGTTATAGTCATTTTTGAAGGATGGACACTACATTTTCTTGGTCAAGGTGATCTTTTTTTTTTTGAGGTGGGGGAGGTCTTGTTCAGTCTAGAATTTCTGGAGTAGCAAAAAGAGAAACTATGATCAAGGTCAAATTTTACTTGTTGACATTAAGTCTCTAATCTTTCATGATAGAAGAGCTCTGGCTGGAGATGACTTTATCCATTTGCTGACGCCTGATTGCTAACTGTGTGTGCAGAGTACCCTCTAGTGGAGGAATGAGGACATTACAGAATTTTATACCAAGTATATTGGAGTAAAATATCCAACTGCCAGAATGTGAGATACGTATGTGTAATTACAAATGCATGTATATGTGTAAATATATACATTATATATTTTTAAATATGATAAAATTAATGAAAACTTTTATCTTTTTAAATATAACATTTTAGCATAAAAATGATAAAAGTCAAAACAAAATCAACCCATGGCCTTGATATATAATAACGATTTTCCAGGCGCTCAAGAGCTAATGAATATTATTTTGTTATTATTCTTTGAATAACTGCTCTCAGAAAGTAAGCATCTTTTTTCCCCCAGCTTAAATGAGATATAATTGACATACAATATTGTGTAGGTTTACCGTGTGTAACATGATGATTTGATATATGTGTACGCTGCAAAGTGATTACCCCAATAAGGTCAGTGAACACATTCATCATCATCACTTTCGTGAAAATCTTGGGACTAGCATTGCTCTGCACTGGCTAACTGAACTCTTAACAAATCCCCCAGGGAGAGTACATCAGTCAGTGGTCTACTGGAAAACCAGTACAAAATTTTCTCTCCAAACTAGGAAACAGCTTCCACGCAGAACGGCAGGACCGACAGTCATTTATATCCATGTATCCATAGCTATCTACCTTCCTACCTACCTACCTAGTTTTCTCTGTAGCAAGGCTCAGCAGTTTATTAACCATGAGTGCCATCAGAGAAACCAAGCAATGCCTCCTGGTGCCACTCCAAGTATGGAACGAAAGAGAACGGGAAATAAAACAGAAGCCTGAGAATGGGGGTGGAATGGTAACAAATGAGGAAATCGGGAGAGAGGAGAAAGGAAGGAGGAGGATCCACCATTTACTGAGCCACTCCGTGCATGCTTCACAGGTTAACTCACTCTGGCTTCACAGGAGTCCTGTAAGGGAAGAATCATTCGCTCTCATTTTAGAGACGTGGAAATTAGGACTCTGAGAGTTTAATTACTGTATCCATGGTTACCCTACCGGAAGCAGCACAGCTGGGATATGAAGGCAGGTGTGACTAGAGACTGACTCTTGGGAGGAGAAGGAAGGAAATGAAAGGCAAGAGAATAGGAAGGAAGGAAGGAAGGAAAGAAGGGAGGGAGGAAGGGGAGGGGAGGGAGGGAGGGGAGGGAGGAAGGAAGGAAGGGAAGGAGGGAGGGAGGGAGGGAGGGAGGAAAGAAGTAGAGGAGGGAGGGAGGGAGGAAGGAAGGAAGGAAAGAGGGGAGGAAGGAGAGAGGGAAGGAGGGAGGAAGGAAGGAGGGGAGGGAGGGAGGGAAGGGAGGGAGGAAGGAGGGAGGGAGGAAGGAGGGAGGGAGGGAGGGAG